TGGAGAACAAGGGTTGGGATGGAGGGAGAGGACTGGGGTGGAGAACAAGGGTTGGGATGGAGGGAGAGGACTGGGGTGGAGAACAAGGGTTGGGATGGAAGGAGAGGGTTGGGGTGGAGGGAGGGGGTTGGGGTGGAGGGAGGGGGTTGGGGTGGAAGGAGAGGGTTGGGATGGAGGGAGAGGGTTGGGCTGGAGGGAGAGGGTTGGGATGGAGGGGGATGTTGGATGAGAAGCCCCCCCCCAGGGTCCCCTGTGCCCACCCCCGGCACCGCTCGGGGTCACGGCCCCTCCTCTGGAAGGAAGGGAATGATCCTTCTCCCTCTGGAAGGCTCCAAAATCTGGCTCTCCACATCCCTCTCCCATCTCCTTGTCTCCTCAACGTTCAGCGTTTTCCCACCAAATCCCTTTTTCCTGCATTTTCTCCCCCTTTGATCCTTGGGATTTTTCTCGTCCCGATTTCTCCCCCCTGGTTTGTGGAGCTCCTTCCCCGGAGGATGAGGAGCAGCCGGTGTGGGAGGGAGGGAGAGGGTTGGGGTGGAGGGAGAAGGTTGGGATGGAGAACAAGGGTTGGGATGAGGGTTGGGATGGAGAACAAGGGTTGGGATGGAGGATGAGGGTTGGGATGGAGGGGAAGGGTTGGGATGGAGGGGAAGGGTTGGGATGGAGGATGAAGACTGGGATGGAGGATGAGGGCTGGGATGAAGGTCACGGGGGTCCCAGGGGCTGTTTTTGCCCCGGTGCCTCTGCACAAACCCCTGGGACCGTCACGGGAAGGACAAAGGGACCCAACCCATCCCTGCTGGGTTTTCAGCCCCATCTGGCCGGTCTGGGACACGGAGCACGTGGCACACGTGGCACACGATGCCAGGGGGTGGCACACGTGGCACACGATGCCAGGGGGTGGCACACGATGCCAGGGGGTGGCACACGATGCCAGGGGGTGGCACACGTGGCACACGATGCCAGGAGGTGGCACACGATGCCAGGGGGTGGCACACGATGCCAGGAGGTGCCTCCTCCCTCGGCCCCGTGCCGCTCCGGCCCCGGCCGGGGTTGGAGCGGCAGCTCCCCCGCTCCCGGTGTTTTCCCAGCGCTGCCCCGGGGCGGCTGGAGAGCTGTTCCTCAGCCCTGCTCCTGCCAGGGGGTCCCGCTGCCTCCCCTCCTCCCCTCTCGACACCCTCCCACTCATCCTTCTCCCCCAGTTCCCTCCCCCCCCC